CGAGATACGAACCAGGAACACTCGGCGAGGGGGGCGGCTCCATGCATCTGGGAGCAGCGGGCGCGCTGCGAGGCAGGGCGCTGTGGTCCCGTTACCCCGCGCCCGGGGGGCGCACTAGGCGGCGGTTTACGGGGAGGGGTCAAAGAGGCCACAGACGGCAATGACGAGGGCGAGTCCTTTGCGGGGGATTTGACGTAGGCACTATGCAGTCCCGGATCCGATTCTCGGTCGGCTTTTCTTTAAAACTGTCTGTTTCTGTATCTGTGTGACGAAGAAAATCTCAGGGAGGCAGAGTTTGCTAGTTACGGTGAAGGAAATACGTCATGTTCCCCACATGTCCCTCTTGCCCTCCAAGCGTGGGAATTAAAGTGGGCCCTTAGCATAGGGCATACCGTTATTTAGCCGTCAAATTTGGGAAATTGACTCAAAATGTCAAATACATATAAACCATGACAAGGAGAATATTTTTGGTGCCTCCGATTCGCGCAAGGCACAGAAAAGAATCGACCCCTGTGAAAACTGGCTATAATATATCTGTAAACGCGACAAATTCCGCGTGGATTCGTTGGATTCGGTCCCAGAGGTGGAAGGTCGGTAGTATAATCACCACACCTCTGGCCGCCCAGTTAGTCAACAGTGTGGCTACCGCGCTCTGGGCACCCAGGGATAGTAAATATAAATACAAACAACTTTAGTTCCACTCGCATCCTACTACCACTAACACGTAGCACTTAATGTATTGTTCCAATGCCTGAATGATAATGCAGATCTCCCTATCTACGCGCAATTACTCTTTTCTTATCAAGCTGCGTCCACCGCTTCGTCAGATCACCATTTCCCGGGGGGGGGGGGTATGTGCAGTATATGACGGTGGTGGGATGTTTTGCTGGTAGTATTTGTGCCTGCGGAGAGTAATGGGCAGAGGCCAAGGCAGGTTCGTGGCCTCTGTTGCTGGAGGCGGAGCGAGTTGGGCCCCGCCACGCGCCAGCCACGCGCTTGGCGGAGCATCAGGCCCTCCGAAGCATTAGGAGAGAGAAGCCGCCGCCTCTGCGATCGATGGGTGTGGCGAGCTCAGCCCAGGATGAGTTCAAAGAGCTTCGGAGATGGGGCCAGCGAAGGGAGGGATGGATAGCTCCATATACAAACCATGAGGTGAGAAGAGAATTGAAAACGTATATTGAAATATTTGAAAAGTAGGTCACTGAGATATAAAGGGGAAAGAAAACTGCTGGAAGCGATAAAGCTAATATTTTAAATGATGGTGGTGGTGTAAATACGGTAGTTAATATAGGAACTCTGTGAATGGAATTGTGATAATGTGGATACGATAGTCGCAACGATTGTGTAAATATCATAAACATTGATCAAATTGATAGGATCCAGGAGATTAAAATAAAATCCACCTCACTAACAAAAGAGATGTGATAACATCTGTCCAGTAAACAGCAGACTGAACATTCTTTCTGCATACTAATATGAAATTGCATATGTCCAGTGTAAAGGAAGAAAATACCGAATCATCAGTTCCACTAGTATACTCAGTCGCATGTAACTTTCTTATGGTAGCTAAAGTTGAAACTGTGCGTTCAAACGTGGTCAGTTAAGACCATGGAGATTACGAGAGTGAAGGCTGTCGCCACGGCGACACCCAATTTGCAAGCAGCAGCAGGTTGGCTCATTGAAGTGCCGGGAATGTAATCTTTATTATTTACCCAGTACCTAGCATTTTCGGCCATACCTGGGATGAATGGTTTTGATGGACGGGTCATAATATAATATGTACGATGTTGGAGCGATCGTGGAAAGAAGGAAAGGGAGAAAATCTGCCGCGAACCCGTGTTGATCACCACAAATTCTACATAGAATGCCCGGGTGATCTTCCGGAGGTGCAAGGTGATCAGTATGTCCGGGACTATATCACAGGTCTCACTCTCAGCACTGGGAGTCGACGAGGGCAACATACGAGATGATGGAACGAATGCCGAAGGAGAGGAAAATCGGGTGAATCCGAGAAAACCTCTTGCGAATCCAACAAAGTCCTCATCGAACGAACTGGATATGAACCTCCGGTAACGAGAGGTGGAAAGTGAGCAGTCTGACCACTCCATCTGGGATCGCTCCATGCGCGCAAGGAGGGGCGATGGCAAAGCGTGGGATGATGGAATGATAGGCCGAAAAATCTGAACTCCGAGGAAACCTGCTGCGATCCGCTCGAATTCATAGAACGAGCGGGTTTCGAACCACCGGCAACGAGAGGTTGGAGGCGGGCAGTCTGACCACTTCACCAGCTTCATCCGCGCCGAGTCGCGGCGAGGACAGCGTGTGGGGTTGAGGGAGTGATAGTGGAAAGAGTTGCGGGAAAACAAGGAGAACCCCGAGAAAACCTTTAGCGAACCTGCTTACTTCATCACAAATTCCACATAATTCAATTGGGATTTGAACTGTTGGCCCCGAAAGGTGGAACGTGAGCAGTCTGACCGCTGCCCCTCGGATGGCTCCCTGTGCCTGAAGGCGGCGAGGGCGACATGTGGGTCGAGGACGGAGCTCGTGGGCGTGTTCCGCCGCGCCGCGTTGCGCGTGCCGGGGCCTGCGCGCGGACCGTTAGGAAGCGCGAGACCGGGAGCGGCGCGCGGCGCCCGCGGGCCTCCTCCTTCCCCTCCGCCGCCCCTCTCCCTTCCACTCGCTCCTCTCCCGCCACCTCCGCGTTCCGACACCATCGCCATTCCACCGCATCTTTGATTTAAGAATTTGACGTCCGCCTAATTGAGGTCCGCTTGTGTCTTAATTACATACCCGGGCGCGGGCGGGCGAAACCGCGAAAATCTGACGTATCGGAGACCTGCATCTCGAGACTACTAAATTCAAACCGCAATTATTGTCCGGGTAATTGCGAGAGGTTAACAAGGGACGTGCTCGGAAATAGCAAAAGTTTCCGAACGCTAATAACTTTAATTCGGATGCGCGTCGCCAGTGGACACGCGCGGCCGTGAGAGCCTCTCGTGCGACGGGGGCTGACCAGGAGGTTCCTGCACGACTCGCGGACTCTGGCGAAACTGGGAGCTCGCGATCGCCTCACACACGCTTCAAGTATAAAGTCCACCGATTCTTATTATACGCCATGTTCCAAACTGAAGAAATCTCAAAATGATTGATGCCTCATTTCAATATTACGTGAAGTCCAGGGCCAAGTCGATGATCAACAGAATTACCTTAAAGAAGATCGTCATTCAAGAGCATAGCTGTTTACAGCACTCAAGAAATGTCAAAAAAGCAAAAGAAGATCATAATCTACATATATTTTTAATATAAAACAAAATACAAACAAAAGTGTTAATACATAAATAGATACAAAATAACGGAAAACATTACAAGAAATAAAAGTAAACAACACATAAATAATACTCTTAATATTGTCTCGTAAAATACATTTCTTGCCACCTTTACAGTACGATTTCCGACCAAACAAACATTGCTACATTGTAATTGACACCGCCAATGCTAGCGGACACTATGACACATCGTCTATAATATAGCAGAAGGCAGGTGGATATGCAGAGTACATTATGTGTTTCATGTGGCTCCGTGGTCGCATATGATTGCGGAGGAAGCTCGCATCGCGAGCCTCCATGCACGGAGACCGTTGGAACGTAGGGCGCCCCAATGCGGCGACGGCGACGGCGATGCCTGCAGCCCCGCGGCAGCGCCCCAGGCCCTGCCGCCTCGCGTCGATTTGCGCCGGCGGACATCGCTATATTAAGCTTAGTCGCATTCCGACGAGCGGGAAAGAGACAGCAGATACGCTTCTTACCCAAGACAGAAACCAGTTCAACATTCGCTAGGCGGTGGTCCGGGAAACCGAATAAAAACTCTGACACGAAGAGTGGGTTAAAGATTCGGCCGCCAACCTGTCGGCTAGGATGGGGGCAGCGATCGGAGCCGATAAGATCCAGGCGGAGGCGAGGGCACGGCCAGAGGGGCGTGCCGGTTGTGCCTTCGTGCAGACGCGGGTGTTCCGGGCCGCAGAAGCTGCTGGATGGAACGGATGGGAGGTGTGTGAAACCAGAATATCATCGAACGGGAGTCAAATCCGTGCAGACGAGGAACAGGGAAGGAAATGTAATTGTCACTATTATATATCTTTCTCGATATAGACAAAATAGCTTCGTTTGTTTTCTTTCGACTGTTTCGCAAAAGTGTCCGAAATAAAGTGAATTGTCTCCACGAACTTGAAAACAGCGTTACCAGTGGGATGGCTAAGTATTGGGACACAAACAATCGTTAATGTCATTAATGGCATTAACATTCCATTGTTAAGGTTGTTACAAAGTATATAGCAAACAAAAACTAAATTTATTTGGTACAATTCCGAAAGAAATACTGAGGGAGAATGGCTAAAACTGCGCTATTGAAAAAAAGGTCATGGGTGTGCTCTACTTAAACAGTGCATACCGTCAGAATTTATAAATGGAATATGGATTCACGTATATTTTTATTCAGGGTTGTGTAACACTCATTTAAGCGTGGTGAGGCATTGTGAAATCCGAGCGAGTTGAGGGGGTTACCTCTTCGGCGGGGACGTCGGAGGCGGAGAGGTCCGCTTGGTCGGAGGGCGAGGCGGCGACGTCGGAGGCGGAGGCGGCTGACGTCGCAGCAGACGCCGGCAGCAGCAGGTTGCGCGGGAAGGCCGGGATGGAGGAGACGGCGGGGGCGGGCGACGCGCAGCCCAGCTGGATGTTCTCTGCCTTGCCCAGCACGGCGTTGGCCAGGAGGCTCTTGTAGAGCTGGGCGGGCAGCAGGAAGGGCTTCCAACGGCGTCGGGGCGTCGAGGTCGGGGCCGTCGGGAGCGTCGGGGGCGTCGGGGCCGTCGCGGACGCGCCGCCGGACGACGCCGGCGACAGCGGGACGAATCGGGCTGCTGGCCATGCGGGGTTACGGGGCGACGCGGCGGCGAGGGCGGCGTGGGCCGGCAGGAGGGGCGGCGGGGGCGGCGCGGCGGGCGGGCGGGCCGGGCGGGGGCGCCGCGGCGGGCGAGCTGCAAATGCCCCGGGGCGGAGACCGCGCCACCAACGCGCCGCGGGGACAACAGGTTGGCGAGGCCGGGCGGCGCCGGCTCACTTGCAGCCTGCGCTTCCCGCCAAAAGCGGCGTCGCCCGGGGCGCGGAACGCGCGGCCCGCGCCCTCTTTCTTTTTGCGGCGGAGCTAGCAACGGCGGCGGGCGGCGGAGGAGGAGGCCGGCGGGGCGGCGGCGGCGGCAGCTGAGGCGGCAGAGGCGGCAGCGGCGGCGACGCGCTGCTATCGATTCACGCAGTTGCTAGCCCGACGGAGACCGGCGCCCTACTTCGCCGCCGCTCAGCCCGGCCGGCGGGCGCCACGGTCGGCCGGGGCTCGATCCTCGGTGGCCGCGGGAATCGCGTGGGTGCCGCTGGCCGCTGGATCCTCGCCGCCAACCGCCTCCGCCACGAGAATGTAGCTGTGGCTGCCTGTTTCCCGCGTGCGCGATAACGCAGTCCACAAATGCACGTATGCGGAATCACACAATGCGCGCCGAGGATTTCCACGCGGCACGCACGACGTACGCAGCTGCCGTGACGTTTTCACGCTTCACTCCACGAGGGTGGCGGCAGGCGCTCGGAAGCGGATTGGGGGCGAAACGGTGCACAGATGCCGATGGAGGTAGTGGTGACGTGGAAGTGGGGGATGGAGACGTTCGTGGTGATGTTTCTTGGTGCAGGCGAGCAGCCTCAGCGCTTCATCAATGCGAAGGTCGCTGACGCACACTAGCGCTCGCCGGCGGACGCTTCCCATTACCCGTAAGGTGGCTGTTTCAATAAGCCGCGGCAGACGCCGCTCGGCGGCGGGCCGCAGGGCGGTGCGGTGGGCGATGGCGGGTGGCGCGTCGGCGGGCGCGGGCGCGGTGGTGCAAACGGCGCGAAGGCGAGCTTGCGGAGTGAAGGCCTTGGTAAGGCGAAGCGCCGCGGCGCGCAGCGAGTAGCGTTCGGAGGAGACTGGCCTCGCCGAGGCCGCCACGTCAATAAGATATGAAAGAAAAGAAAAGAAAAGAAAAGGAAAAAAAAACACGAGAAAAAAGTAGGAAGGGAACCGCTAGAGTGAGGGCTCCAGTAAGGGTGGTGTGGGGGTGAGCGCTCGCCGCCGGGCGGACGGTGGGGGTAGCGGCGGCCCCGCCGGAGAAGGGCGCGGGTAGGGAAGACGCGAGGTCGGCGGCGGCGGCGGCGGAGACGAGGCGGGGCGGCGGCGCCGAGGCGCGGGGTGCGGCGGGCGCGGCGGCGGGCTAGGCCGGGCGGGGGGCGGCGCGGGGAAGGAACGGCCGGCTAGGGCAGCGGCGCGGGGAAACGCGCCGGAGGGGAGGAAGTAACTCGAACGTCACATTCCACAAGGGCGCCCACATTACGCGCGCTCTCTCGCACACCATATACACACAGCCCCGCACAACGCAGGCGCACTCAATTCTTAGGAACTAAAACCTAGCCAATAAATTCACAAAAATGCTTCAACAAAATAACTAAGAACTGTCTTGTTCTTCGTGGCAGTGGCGCAGCGCCGCGGGAGAGGACGGCGGCGGCGACGGAGGCGGAAGCCGGACTCTTCCCCGTTTCCCGTCTCGACTCGCTGGTTCCCCGCGTCCGCCCGCACCGCCCGCCGTCGCCCCCGCCGCCGCCGCCGCCGCATGCAGCTTGCGCCGCTCTCCTGCGGCGCTGCTCGATCGGCGCGCAGCCCCCAGGCCCCCGCGTCGCAGCCGCCGCCCCCGATCCGCCGCGCTCAGGCCCGCCGCCCGGCGCCCCGCCTCGCCCCCCACCCCGCGCGCGCTCCGCCGCAGAGCCCGCGCCGCGGATCGAAGGGCGCGCTGCCGCCGCTGGACGCGGCGCACAAGAGTAGTCGGTGGCGGCGCGGCGCGGCGGGCGGGGAGAGCGCTCCCTTCCCAGCGGCGGCTGCGTGTATGTAGCGTGTCTGCTCCCGGAGCGTTTCGTAATACTCAGAATGAATATTTGCTCGACCGAAACGCCGCGCATTTCCGCAACTTCTTACTTTTTAAAGAGGACTTTTTATACGACGTAACGTCCATCTTCCTTTTATAATTTTACTTATCATGTTTTCTACATACTTTCTCCTAGCACCGGCACGGGCTAGCGTGACAGCAACGCCTTAAGATCGATCGTCCCGTTGACACAAAGGCCGCACGTTCGATCCGTTAGGTGCGAGAAAATAGCTTGATGGCTTGAACTTCAGCGAGTTTGTGACGCCTCACGAAATCGGGTTCGAAATGCCACTGCTCTGTTCAGTGGTTTCTGGAGTTTCTTCGATCACTTCCAGGCGAATGCCGAAATAGCATCAGGTACAACGGGGCAAGAATCTGGTGCGATCTTTTCATCCGGTTCCTTTACCTTCCCAATACAGTCTAGGACGCCATGATAGGTCCGGTAATTTCCCCTTACAACTGTTATACGATTGTGGGAGAAGGCGATAGCTGTTAGGTCCGGTAATTTCTCCACATAACTGTTACACGATTGCGGAACGTCCCATGGATATCTGAAATTGACTAATAATAAGTATAAGAATAGTGGCAACAAGACATTCAGTTCCAAAAGTATAGAAATGAAAAAGAAAGGTGCCAAACACCCTCGTTTCGTCGATTTTCCTTTTGAACTAATATGAATAAAGAACCGGATTTTAATTTCAATAATCTAATTACTACGTTTTATCATGACAAATACATTGTGTATATTGTATATATTGCTTAATAACTGAACGTACAATATGTCAATTTTGGTCAAAATCAACGATTTTACAGGATGACATAACGAAAATATCGTAAAAATCTAGCGTACTGCATCTGTTCGACTACAATCCTTTTCATCATAATCGGCTGTCAATACATTAATTTGTCTTCTTGTGCAAAGAATACATATATTTGAAATTATAATATGTAAACTTCTTATGTTTAGGAGAAACTGCGGTTTGAAGATATCCCCTGTCTTTTCTACGCGATATTTCACGCTCAGCCATTACAATGGCAAGCAACAGTAAGCAGCGGCTCAACCTCACTTCGCTTTCTGCGAAATCTGCCTGTGGTCATTTACACGAGGCGGAGGAAAAAATCTGGGGAAAGCTATAAGCGCAGGCGGGGTACCGAGCAGAAGCCAAGGGGGCGAGTTCAGAGGAAAACCAAGACGAAGAAGCGTGCAACTGATGGTTCCGTATTCCATGTTATTGCAAAAAAAACTAGCCCTGGTGGTCTTCCGCAACCGTTTCTTAAATCGTAACCGCCGGCAGTGGCTTGCGCTGCGCGTAATCCACGCGATTTTGATGCCACGAACATTACCATAATCACCACCGAGAACGGCAATGCTTGCTCCTGTTATTTGTCTTATTTCTCTTTTCACTTATTGCCGCTTTTCATTTTTTCTCTTGTTTTAATTTGTCCCCCCGATTTCGTCTCCTTGGTTTTCATAATATTCTTCTCGTTTTTGAACTATCTGGCCTGTTAACTTCTACCCTCCATCTTCGAGTCTTCAAATTGTTATTCAGCACTCTCGTCAGTTTGCTTCTTGTAGGCAACTTTACACGTCCAATTCTTTCTCCCCTTTCTGCGAGCCACCGACTTGGCTCTTCGAAGAGAAGAGCTCCACCGCCAGGCGCTGTGCACTGTTCTCCACTACCCGCAAGGAATCACTGTCTGCGCGCCTCCCCAGTGACTTCGCTTCCAGCTTCGCAGCGAAGCCGAACGCCGACGCGACCGGCGAATTTCCTCCCAGTGTGTAGCGGCGGAGTTAGGTTTACGTTCCCAGCGGACGGTTACGCTATTGCCCTGTGGTGCAAGCAAACAATGCGGGTCGAACGATGCGTTGAGTGGAGGTGCGTGTGCTTTCTCTCGTTTTGTTTCTTTGAGAAGGGGCAAAGGTGTGAGAGAACTTCCTCAGCGAGATCTTGGTTGTGGCTTCACAAAGGGTACCATGTGACAAGCTGCTTGATCACAAAAACTACAACTCCGTGCATGGCTAAGTAATGTTAGCACATTTACTTGAAGCTATTCTAAACAAAGCCAACAATTGGGGTTGTCTGAAATGACAAATTTGTCTGAAATGACAAATAATTTGAAATATTTGCATCCAGTGTTTTTGCGTCAAAAGCACAAAAATTGAAACTGAAAATATTGAAATGTTTCGAAGTATTCAGGTTTGATATGGGAAAATTCTTCTTCAATATATTTATTACTAATTTACAATGTGCGGAGAACTCGCGAAAACTATGCGTCCCAGACCATGTGAGAGGTGTCTACGGTTTCACTACATACCCAGGAACTCAGGGAAATATACGAAAACAATTACACAGTTTCGATTGTGCCGGGAGAGTCCCAATATTTGGTTTTGCCATTCCGCCTATTCTCCAGATTCGTGGAACGACTGTCACTGCTTACGACATATCTGGCGTCATGCGACAATAAGACTCCAAGGAAGAGAGCGGCAGCTATTCAATATTAGCTACCGACATATTGCTTTACGGAAGGCAAATGTTTTGGTATTCTTGCAATGTAAAGGAATTTGTAGTGTAGTTATAGTACACTATATTATTGCAGTACTTGTATTTGCGAAGATAGTTTCAGTTAAAATACAAGTATAAAATGTATTGCTCTGTTGTACAAGAGTAATTTATATGTTGTTTTGGACAGAATGCGTGCTGCTTTTTGGAAATCCATTTTGTACGGTTTTGTTCAGCAACATTTTTGCTGCTGGAGGGCACAAGTTTGCTATTTTCATTCAAATGGAAAATTGAGAAACAGTGCTGTGGCAAATCGTTAGCAGAAATATAAATGCGATTGAATTATCCGATAACACGTAAATTCCTGAATATAATAAAATGCCAATCCAGTTACAAAACAAGAAATTGCAATATTCAACAGATCATAAGGGGAGAAAAACGACGGTTGGTCTTGCCACTTCACTGCTGACAATCCCGATTTACGTACATGCAAGACGGCCTCAGGCTACAATACAGTTAGTCTAAAAAAGGTCTTTCTCTTTAATAAAATAATATGTGTGCAGACAGGCGAAAGCGAGGAGATAGCTGGGTAACATTTTATCCCGCCTGCGGCGTGCAGGTAACAAGAATCTCGCATTTCGCGCCCCATGCTACAAACCCACTATTGGCAAGCAGTATGTAGCGTCACACTGCTTGTCCTTACAAATGCAAACAAACATGTCTATGCCAAACCTGGTATTGGTTGACGCCTAAATTAGTTTTAGAAGTAAAAGCCATTAAATTCTGGGTAAGTAAGAATATGTAAAGTTCTCGTATAACAATCATATTTATTGTATAATTACTATTATTATTATTATTATTTTATCATCATTGTCTCACCTGTTATTCTAATCTCACTATTCGCAATTTCTCTTAGCAAAGCCCTAACGCAATTAATCAATTTTGAACATTTAAAAATACATGCTTAGAAAAATGATAAACGAGTTAACAATCGTATCTTTCAAAATATTTTCGTAAACGCAGAAACCAGTAGAAGTTGTAAAAAATAGATAATTTTTTTTTTAATGTTAGAATTCCCTTTGCTATGTTAATATATACGACGACTGCACCCCTCTGTTCAACCCCGCACTATAAATTTGAATACCAGCGGTTTGAACTGCTGAGGGCCAGACTTATTATTTTGCCGCTCAATGGAGGGCAGCATACCAATAACACGGTTGTCGTCGAGTCCGTGCATGCCACGAACTTCGCGGCTGCCGAACCCTACTAGCACGTATCGCTAACACAATCCTCCCTTTTACAATGCCGCT